GACTTTGTTATATCAATAAGAGTACAATTGGTCACATATACAACTTTAGTCATTGTCTAATTAAGGGCTCTGCTATATCTATTTCTATCTATATAAGTATATTTTATATAAGTTATTATTATTAAAACACCTATAAACCACATTAATTCTATCCAAGTTAAATCTTTTTACACCTTTTCACTAGCATATACACATCTATTAGTAGATAGTATTACTACTGCTATAAAATATTCAACAGGCAAAAATCGCTCAATAAACTGTCTAGGTAATATATTTGTAATATCTATAATTTTAATAGTTGTAGTACCTAAGTAGGAAGAACAGATTTGACATGAATTAACAGTAATAACCTTAGTATTCCATAATAAGCTATTACTATTACTAACAGTTGTTACTGCTTTATCACTTTGATTAGTATTATTTTCATTTAAAATATCTGTTTCATACTCATTAACAATCTTCTCAGACATTTCAGGCTCATTATCATCACTTATATTTATATTTGATTCAAACTTTATACAAGCTACTGAAAGATCAATCACAGTTTCTGGTTGCAAATTAATACTAATTGTCCAATATCTAATACTAGAAGCAGTATATAAAACTGTTGCAAATAACTGCATTGTTTTCTATATACTTTCTAGAAGTAGATAAGAAATAGTCTCTTTAACTACAGAATCTAGAACAGATATTTTAGAATTCTCTTTAATATTTCATGAAATTTAATCTATTTTTTGGTTTTTTTTTTTTTTTAGTCAAAAATTACTTGAATAAAATTTTTTTTTTATATTTGGTGCAATTATTTTTGGCTATATCTATATTTTTATCATAGAAATATTCAAGATTATATTGTTTGTTAAAAAATGCTATATCTTTTTTGTACTAACTACTTGTGTTTTATTTTTTTAAAAAAGTAACTGTATAAAACTAGAGATTCAACTACAAATATGACCCACTTAAGGTCTATTCATACAAGTAATTTTTCTATTTAATTTGATTAAAAAAGTGCTTATAAATCAAACAATTATATTATGATTATTAATTGGTATAATACAGTATTATTCAAAAAAAAACTCTTCCTATCAATCACTTATACAAAACTTAACTAAAAATTTGCCTATACAAAATCTGTAATAACACAATATTTTATTAAGTT